CTCAAGCAAAATAATGTTATGGAGGGGGAATGAGTAACGGGACATGGAAGGCAAAAGAAGCCAAAAGAAAGACTAGCAATGGCCGGGAATTGAACCCAGAGCTTCCGTTTGCCAGTTAGTGATGCCTCTATTACACCATCGAACCCCGCACATCCAGTTGACTCTCTGAATGCCATCCTCATCTGTCACAAAATATATTTAAGAAAAACGTTTCCCCCCAAAATTTGTACCCCCAGGGCATGTACCCCCAAAGTGGGATTTTTTCTGAACTCTGCATCCAAAAAGGTACATGTGTACCAAGTTTCAGATTTCTAACCCATTTTTTTTTTTTTTTCATCCAAAAAGGTACATGTGTACCAAGTTTCAGATTTCTAACCCTTCTAGAACATGGTTAGAATTAGCGTCAGTCAGTCAGTCACGATCGTCTATATATATTCGTTATATGGAGCGTCGACTGTAGTACGGGGGGGTCACACCGAAGACGATTACCCATAATATTTTGTGACATGGCGCCACAAATCTTCATTGAAACCACGGAGGCCTTTATTACCGGCTTCCGTGATCGACCTTGTCTCTGGAATGTCATGACGTAGGAGTATCACGACCGCTCCATCGGGGATCAGGTAAGGAAGCCACGACGATATAGGGTGAAAGACCCTGTGATGGACCGGTCCCCAGTGATGGGTCGCAGCACATAAATATTCTAATAGCTAAGCTTCTACTGCACGCCTACCCCTGTTGTAACATAGGCTAGCAGCATTCATGCACATACACGCTTCAGAGGTGGTCATGGAACAATATATTGTAACGGCCCAGCCGGCACGACACCCGGTGAGTGGCCTGGCAGGACTGCCGGTATGCGAGGGAAGAGCTCTCTATGAGTCGCCCAGGGAGACCGCAGTATATGCATGACCCCCTAGGTGTCATTGTTCCTGTACAAATGTGTCACCCTCTTCCACACAAATTTCAACTCTCATCTCTCCTAGTCAACCTCCAAATTTGTACCACATCCCCTTTGAGACAACCTTTTACCCTCCTTTTCACAGTGTCACCAACATCATCAAAACAAATTATCCCATCCTTGTGTCTGGACCTGACACCACCCCAGAGTCAACAAATTGAGTAGATACATTTATGGTACATCAGAATAGAAATCTGAATCAGAATGAATCAGAATCAGAATGTTACAATATTATTAAATATTACAGAAATCCATTAAATATTGTAACGGCCCAGCCGGCACGACACCCGGTGAGTGGCCTGGCAGGACTGTCGGTATGCGAGGGAAGAGCTCTCTCTGAGTCGCCCAGGGAGACCGCAGTATATGCATGACCCCCTAGGTGTCACGCCTGACCTCTGACCCTTGACCCCAATCGAGAGATCTCTCTTAGTAACCCTATATATGTCTTTTGTTCTCAGCCACCTCTCTTTTCATTTCCGTCTGGCACTCACAGACTAGAGGCAGAAGGTGTCACGCCTGACCTCTGACCCTTGACCCCAATCGAGAGATCTCTCTTAGTAACCCTATATATGTCTTTTGTTCTCAGCCACCTCTCTTTTCATTTCCGTCTGGCACTCACAGACTAGAGGCAGAGCTATGTCCAGCTATCTATTTTAATCCAGTAATTCGGCGTCCAAGCGCCAAGAAAGGATGGCCTGTACCGCAAGATCGCACGCGCCTGAGGAGTGAGGTTTCCCCCCCTTTCTGAACCTTCTTGTCCCTCGGGAGTAGACGTTCCCGATTCCCTGATCCTTTTCGTTTCATGATGTAGATATCCCGATCGTCATCTTCCAGGATCTTTGATTGATTGGCCGAGGACTATTGTTTGTGTAGTAGCTTAACCGCTCAACGACGTGGTCTTATCCCTTTTATCCCCTTGGTGCGATCTTGGCCGCTGTGCCTTGTTTTCTTTAATAAACCCTGATTTGGATCACCCCTGACCAACAGTGTTGTGATTCCCTCCACCAGTAGAGGAGCACGCACGGAACCGTAACAATATCTAGTTTTTGGAATTTTCCTGCGAGATGGCCCATCACTGAGTACCCGCCATTAACAGGCCCATCACTGGGTCTTTTACCCTACCCTATTATGAGAGCAATATCTCTCCCATGATTTTAACTTCGAATGCACAGGGGCCATTCCGGACGAACAATTTTCATCGAGAAACAAAAGACTGCTCCTACAAAGTGCGGGGGACGCCATGAGCCTCACCCCAATCGGTTCCTTCGGGGAAAAGATGAGCGAAAGCAAGTTCCAGACATCAAAAGCATGCCGAATTTCAATTTCCAAATTTTCATGCCGACTTTCTCTCCGGCCTGGTGGCATCGATTCTTCGAACCAACTATCTCCCCATTTCGGACTGAACTGAGACTCTTCCAACAGAAAAACTCCTTGCTGTTGGAAGAGTGTCGGTCATCTTCCGGAAGACAGTCTGAACGAAACCCTCTTTCGTCGCTTGCTTCTCGAGCCTCAGAAGAGTCGCCGCGAACGACGATCGGGCCTCGACGCTCTACTCGGACGGACGAGCGTAAACCTCTCGAAGGTGAACATCGCAAAACGGAAAATAATGAAATTCAGACAGAGCGGTCGTCTGAGCTCAATCGTCTCTTTCCCACTCGAGGAACATCGAGATTGTCAAACGGTAGTACGATCTCGGTGTAACACTGCAACCGACTTTAACGTTCTCCGGCTTCGTTCGAAGGAAGAAGTATCCGGCGGCGGCCTGGGAAACCTACTCCTGCTCTCCACCTCGACGGCGACGAAAATACGGTATGTACATCGCCTCAAACTCCGAGCCATCGTGGTCTACGACTTGAAATCGATCGCACATCTGCCGAAGATAGAGCACCTAATAGATCTAGACGGGATGAAATCGCACTCGATCGAGAAAGTCCTGTGCCTGCACTCGTGAATATCTTCTAATTCTGCTCGTATGATCCTCGACGAACAGGCGCCGAAGAAATGAAGATATCGATAACCTTTAGCAAAGCACCACACCGTGAATATGAGAAGCATCGAGAAGTACGTGCTCTAGCCTTTGTCTACGCCCGTTACGAGGACGAAATCCTTTACCTGGAAGACCGCAAACGAAACATACCCTGTACCGCCGCGTCGTCGCTAGGACATAGGCTCATGGGTTCTTCCACCGGTTATGTTCCTCGGAGGCGGGCTTTTACGAGGCCAGAGTCACGTGCTAGTGCCATCTCTGTGGAAGCTCCTGCGAACGTATTGCGTTCTCCATCGCACAGTCCAAAGAGGGCATCAAAAAGACGGATCGTGGAGTTGGACCGGCCTCAAACCCCTCCGCGTCACTCCTCTCGATTCAAACTCGTTTAACTCGATTACGATCGACTTTTTCCGGTGCATGCTCTTCGTCCTTGATTTTCGCCAAATCATCCTTATGGATTTATACAGAAAAGCCTCATCGATTCGGATGGTTCGAATCATCGGGTTCTTGGAAATCATCAGCGTTCCCCGTCCAAGAGGGTAGTGATTCCTATGCCTTAGAGTATGGATGATTCGAAATGCGACTAATTTGAAATTCGAAGGAACTTTCTCGTCCCGTTAGCTATAAACTGATAGGAACAAGATCGTTTACTTGGAAGGGCATTACCCCTTACGGTAATGCCCTTCCAAGTAAACGTTCATCATCGACAGATGACTTTCTGTCCCCAACCTCGCATTCCAAGTGGCTGCAAGGCCAGCTAATCTCCTACTTGGTAACTTTGCTTTATCATTCAGAAGAGTTCTTAGCATAGACCAACACCCACTTATATTCCTCCCTCCCTTTGTGATGTAGAATTTTTTCCTGCTGACGTGGCAACATCGTCCACGTAACAAGTGCTAATTACTGCTGACGCCAATATGCTATGTTTTACAGTAGCATGGATTCAAGAGCTGAAACCAGGTTTTCCTTTGTGTTTGCTTACGCTACTTTTTGTTTCATTTCAATATTATGGATTTTCTTTGTTTTATTTCAGTCAAGGGTGTCTGGATTGAATAAGGTAATATAAAGTGGATAAAATGGGTAAATCAGATAATTCGAACCCGTCCCATTCGGCACAACGTTGTCAAGATTGAGATAAGGTTGAGACGTTGAGACTTGGCTGAAGTTGAGAATTTGACGAAGAATCAACATCGATGAAATGTAATTTCATCGATTCTATTCGTAATTAACCGTATTTTCTGCATTTGGTGACTACTCGCGAATTAGCGAAGTCGTTCAGAGGCTATTAAGCGCAAATTCGTTTTCCATCATAGTCTCACCATTGTTTCTACGTGGAGTAATCCACATCATATCGACAGAAAATAGGTTCTACGAATCGACAAGAGATGGCGCCTAACTGACTATTCTTACCCTTGGACCCTGAAATAAACAGTACCCTGTATTTTTCATACAGAACCCGATCAGATCCCGAGTCGTCACATTCGTACTCGATTCGAAGATTCATACTACCATTTCTGGATTGCCAGAGATTAATAAGCGTCTTATCAAAAAGCTTAGATCATTCTTCCCATGCATTGCACGTCCCCAGAGTATACAACTGAATCATCCGCGTTCAGGCCATGGTAACTAACTCCATGAAGTAGGGATTAAGAAGGCAAGGTCAGGATTAAAGTGAAAGTCAACGGAGATGGAATGGACCGGCCAATGCATAGGAATGATCCAGAATGGAACAATCAGCATATTCATCAGATTCATCAAATGGTCATCCAGAAGGTTGTCTGTGTTTCTTAAGGACACTAAATAAGTGTTTGATTTTTATGGATATTGCAAAATTCAGCTCGAAGTTATATCCACATGTAGTGGATCTTGCAAAACGCCACAAAACTTTACCTGCAATTAGTAAAAAGAATTGGTATGGGCAGATACAGATGCTAATGCACAATTGGAAGACTCCTCATATCCCTCATATCAATCAAGTAGCAGCTTTTATGAGAATATTTCTGATATGCAAAGAATGAAGGAGACCCAGACACAATGAAGGGTTCAAACACATCCTGTACGACCATAATTTATTAAGACATAAAAAAATGAAAAAAAAAACCATGGAATATGGACAAGATCCACATGGATACAATTCAGACTTGAGCCGGGCGATTGGATTCAAAATTCACATGCTATCACAGGGTGAAAGCCATGGCATATTGTTCAATTTCAGTGCCTCTCTAAAACAGAGTTTCCACTTTCAATCCAAGGATCCATGCTTCACCTTATCACAGGGGTTACACCATCACCTAGGGCATCAGTTCCTATGCTCCCGCCAACATGGACAGTAGATATTGCTCCATCACAGTTTGTGCTGCAGAACATACAGAGAAAAGGAGATCCTCATTATATAAGTTTCCATTCACAATGAAGATTCTCTCTGCTCTGAAGAGTGAAATTGCTCTTATTACAAAAAGGCAACATGGAAGGCTGTGATATTTTTCTAAGTTCACCATTACCAGCAAAGCATAAGCCTAAAGTGGACTGACCAAGGGAAGAGCGTCGCTTGACAGCAATGCCATATGCTGAATCTCCTTTCAAATTTGTGTCCATTATGTTAGCTCCAGCCTTCAGGAGCATGCTTACACAATGGGGAGAATCTGCATGGGCTGCATACATCAGAGCTGTGTTCCCATGCTGCGAAAAGGAGAAGGGGTGCATATTGGAGGAAGATCTGCTGAATGTGAGCTGAAATAATGAAGACATGAAAACTCACAGTGTCTGCCACATTGTGGGAAGCACCAGAGGTGAGAAGGACTCGAGTGACATCAACATGACCCCCACTGCATGCAAGCATCAGGGCTGTCTCCCCATTCTTCCCCTGCTTGCATACATCTGCTCCTTTCTTTAAGAGCATCTGGACTGTCAACAGTTGCCCATATGCACTGGCCCACATCAACAGAGTCAGCCCTCCCCCATCAGTGGCATCTATCATCTCTATAAAGGATAGGTCTACTTGAGAGTCCCTTTATTTGAAAAAGAAAAACTATTAACAAAAAAGGAAAAGACTGACCAGGAATAGTGTCCAAGGAAAGTTCACCTTGAGCGGCTCTTTGATATAGGCTGAAGTCATTTGGATTTATGTGAGGACATTCAGCACGTACATTCCCTCTGGACATGTTGGTCAACAACGTGCTGGGCTGTACCATGAATTGAACTCTCTCATTGACATTCCACATAAATTGCACAGAATACATTTACAACAGAAAAAGGGAAACAGACAGACCCGATAGGGAGAGAAGGCACTACGGGATCCATCTCCCAACCGGGGACTCCATTGGAATCCCGAAGTGTGGGGACGGTCAGTGGGAAGACCAATGGCCTTCGTTGCACTAGGAAGAATGGGTTCAAGTGAATAGTTGGCAACAGGGACATGGGGCTTCCCAAGTGGACGTGCCTCAGCAGCTGCCTGCTTCTCCAGCTCATTCTTCAGAACTTCTTGGACCTCCCGATCAGGGCTGATCTCTTCCTTTGAAACCCCACCACTCATCATGCAGCACTGCTAACTTTAACACCCTTGTAAAATGAGACCCAACTAAGCATTGAACCTTGTCAGAGGTCACACTCCCTGAAATATTAGGCATACCCTGTTACTTATACATTGCATTGAACCCATGATCAAACAAGCCTCTTGACAAGAAGGCTGTCTGGGTGCATCTGGTCATGTGTGAAATCCATGTGTGGAAGAAACAATGCATGTACTATTAGATGAGATGAGAGAGGAAGGTGGAATGACAGCTTAAGAGAGAATAGAGCTAGAACAATACTGAGAATGTGAATTCAATCCAAATTCAGTAGAGTCCTAATTAAGACAAGCTCAAATTTTCAACAACAAAAGGTAGCTCTGTCCATGCGTGATATGAAAGAATGAGCATTACCACATTTAAGTTCCTGTGATTTGGTGTTGAGCCTTTTCAGGTCAATACTTAAAAATCCCAACAAACATGACAAGAAAACTGCTTCTCAATTCAGAGTACAGAGAGAACACTAAATTGAATTATAGGTACTCAGTTATGACCATCACCTATGGGTCATATTATCTTGGGTCTTGGTAAATCAGTTCATTACACCATGGGGAGGATTATGAGTCAATAATCCATTACCTATAAGGGGCACTACATATACATATATATATATATATATATAGAAGCAGCTGCCAAGAACAGATGCCATCGGCATAGGTGGCATTTTGTAGGGGGGTTCTCTCTCCCCAAAACTTTGGCTGGGGGCTCACCCTCTCAAATATTTGGGCAGTTGTCCCTTTTACTTTTCTTTTAGTGGGAAGGGAGGGATTGCTCTCAGGCAGTCTTTAAAAATGCTTAATGCCCTTTCAGAGGAATTTATTTTGGTCAAGGACTACAAATGCACACTTCACTGCCCCACCCCCCAAAGCCTTGGCATCCATCATTCCACTCCCTTGGCTCATGAGCCAAAATAGACCAATGGAGGTTGGGGAATGTATAATTTGCAAAGAAGCAGTCCTGCAAGAAGTCAAGTCCATTCCCCTCAAGTATTTCAACTAATTACCAAACTTCTCATCATCAGTGATGAGAAGTTTGGTACTTCATGGTAGACATTAAGAACATTCATCATACTAGCAACAATTCCTGCCAATTTCATGTCCAGCATCATCATCCTTAAAAGTGACATTGTAATGAAAATCCATCTCCCCAAGATGTAGTCAACTGCACTATGAAGATTTAAGGTCATACAAACCCATAGACCTTCAAAACCATCTCTATGTAGCTAATCCAATTCATTGGTCACCCTGTATTATCAATAGCAGCCCAAGAGCTCCAAGTAAAAAATCAGTTATGAGACTGTCTCACATCCTGAGAAAGTGTGTGTACATGTTGTGCATTACTGTGTAGGAAAGTTTATACACATCAGCATACTAGCATACAAGTACATGATGCAGAGATGAACTGCTTAATTTAGCATGTTTATTTGCACAAATCTCCTGAGCAATGAAAGAGTGAGACCACAAGGATCAAAAGTCTCCAGATGAGTTGCTCAGAAAAACCCAAAGGAAAATTATACTTCATGACTAGAGGGCACCACTACCATCCAAACACCCATCAAGATGGATGGCCATCTTCCTGACCTGACGGGAGGAATGTACATACTCTGGCTTCAGATAGTATGGCACCTTCTACTCACACAAATGGAAAATCATCTACAGAGCAATGTTGAAAGGTGAACTGAATTTCCAGCACTCTAAACCAGTACTCCCACAAAAATGATGGATAAGAAAAAGGCCATTTGATCTAAAGGACAGGAGATACGGACTACATTGATGAACTAAGGCCGCTTCTTGCTTTATGACTTCCAGGTTTCTTTTTCATAGTCCCATTTTGAGGGCAATCCATACACTGGGTTGGCTCGAACATCAATCATTCTCTGCAGCTGTGCTGCTTTGGCTTCCTCTGAACAAGTTTTCGGCAGAGGTGCATACACTATAGGGGGGGAAAAAAGCAAGGATCATACATAATATACTATTAGGTCTGGATCTTAATTGCTACTTGAATGCATCCAATGACAAAAATTATCCTGTCAAGAGCACTAGATCTTCATTATTGCTGAATATAGGCATCCCTATGCATTGGTGTTGCTTATTCATCAACCTCTTTCAGCTGATCTGGAAAACATGTATAAACCTTAATATGCTGAAAGGTACTTACCAAATTTTACCATCCAAATGTATATCCAGAGGGCTAAGGAGACACCAAGCAAGGACACGCCAACCACAGATTTCCATTCTCCAGTTGGGGCTTCTATCTCAGCAAAGGTCTGGCAAAAACTAGCTCTATATAATTTCTTCTTCTCATCCAATGTCAGATTCTTCCAATCATTTTTCTCTTTTTCTTTCAGTGCCTGAAACAATCCATCAAGAACAACTCCCATGATTTCATTAATTAGGATTTTCTTTATTCATAGCAATGAACTTAAGGACTGAAAGTAAAGTATAATCTTAAAGAAAGGCAGTTTAGAAAAATGTACAGGAAAACTTGCAATGAATGCAAGTCTCATAAAAATCTTGAATGTACTTGCACTCTTCCTAATATATATTTCTGTCCAAGCAGCTGCACAAGTAGAGTTTGGCCAGCATATCAAAATTTGACCTGCAGGTTGGGATAGGCCAAGCAGTAGGGTAAAACACTCAGTGATGAGCCAGTTAAGGGTATATACTCAGTGATGGACCATGTTGCAGGAACAATTAAAAAAATGAGGTACTTGTAGCATGAACACCTCTGAAGTATATACAGGGCCGTCGAGGTAAATCCGGAAAATTGAGTTTAAGAACAAAAACCGTCAAAACACGAAATAGAATCAGTTTATTTGCACACAACTTGGCACAATTGTTGGAAATATGTTCCTCATTGAAATTATTCGATGTAATCGCCGCCAGCTTCGACGACCTGCTCAAGCCTGCTCCGGAACCGACTACATGCGCGTTTTCCCTCTTCCTTGTCCATGTTGGTCATTACCTCGGAAATGGTGGCCTTCAGGGCGTCCTTGGTGTTATGGGATTTTGCATTGACCTTCCCTTCAACTACGCCCCATACGTAGTAGTCAAGGGGCAGTCCGGGCTAGACGGTGGCCACAAATCGAGAGACCAGTGGTAGGGCAGGTTTCTGTGAAGCCAAGCCTGGGTCTTCCTCGCCTTGTGAGTGGGCGCTGAGTCCTGCTGGAACACATAATTTCTTCCTGCGGCCACGTCGTCCATCCAGGGCTTCACCACCACCTCCAAGACATGAATGTACCTGTCGGCGTTGATTCTTAGGCCCTCAGCAAAGAAATGGGGTGGCATAACATCCCCTTCGCTGCTTACGACCCCTAGAACCATGACTGAGGCAGGGAATTTTGTGTGCATGACGGTGGGCACCTCTAAAGCATCTTGGCATATCCATCTGTCATTTTGACGATTTACCTTCCTGTCCTGAATAAAAATATTTTCGTCCGAAAAGAACCTCAGATAGTCGGTGCTCTCGTGCTTGATGTCATTCAACAATGCTTCACACTTGAGTTTTCGATCAGCTTTGTTTCTGTCTGTCAACAATTGCCGGTTCCAGAGAACAAAGGATTTGTAGCCAAGGTCCTCGTGCACTGCCAGACTAATTGTTGACCGCGCCACGCCCATTTCTATCGCCAACTTGCCCATGCTGCATCCAGGATCCGCGTCGATCTTCTCTTTCAGTTCGTCAACGAAGTCGGTTGTCCTTTTCCGGTCCGATCGTTTGCTGTGGCTTGCCCGCTCAGAGGAAACCTCGTCGGGGTTGTCAGCCTCCCGAAACTTCCTGCTGATCTCATAAACTTGAGTTTTTTTGTATCCAAACCACTCAATAATCTCCTTTGGCGATTTTCCGGCGCAAAGTGACTCGACGATGGCCGCTCTTTGGTCCTGTTCCTGGCTCATGTTTGTGCACGATGAAACGTGCTAATACCACAGTGACTCCTGACGATATGATCTAAAAGTGGGATAGGGCAACTGCAGGGTTACACACAACTGTCGCTAGAGGGCGCTCTATGAACACATTCCGGATTTACCTCGACAGCCCTGTATGTGTTCATGTGCTGCTTGCTTATGTCACAACAGGGGTAGGTGTGCAATGGAAGCATGGCTGCTGGAATTTTTATGTGCTGTGCCCCATCATTGGGGACTGGTCCATCACTGGGTATTTTACTCTACTGCTCTTAACTTTCCTTAATTAAGGCTCAAGAAAGTGCATTCTTCACCATGGAGACCTTTGCAGTCCCATATATGCCTTGACTTTTTCTAAATGCCACTTTTTCTTCTCAATCCATAATTAAAAACTACATAAATTTGGGGGAAATAGCTGCAGGTCCAAATAAGATCTCAAATGACTACAATTAAATTTCCCTAGAAAAGGATTCTAAAGACTACAATGAGTAAAAGTTGATCCAGAGAGCCAGGTCATGAGTAGCCAATAGTTCAGCCTTGCAATGAGCATGCACCAGTTGGAGAATCTACATTTGTGCAAAGTGGATGTTTAACCAGGAAATGACATGTTGATGATGTTGAAATGACATGTAGCAGTTGATGACTTGATAGTGATTAGTAGTACATGTTGAAATTGAAGTTAATCATATTCCCATCTTAACAAAATTATTTGAATATCCTATTATATCTTGTTGTACTTTGTTTGAATCCAGTCCTTGAGGTTTATCAGGGCTGCATAATAATAATGCAGAACTTCTAGTAAGAGTCATCAAGTCTGTGGCCCTTTTATTACAAATGATTGAGAAAGTAAAGAAGCAGATAATTCCCTGAAGGGTAATCTGACACAGGTCAAAAGCTCAACACAACTGACCTGGATCTCCTTGGAGTTTGACCTGAATCTGACAGCTGGCATTGGACAATCCATGCGATCCACATAGCTTGCCTCACCATTGAAGCCAAAGCCAACAACTTCTCTATCCCCAATTTTACTGTGCGCAGAAGCGTTTCGTGTCAATCGGCATAGGGATTGATTTGATGTGAGTTTCAGGATTGTGAATGCCCGCCTTGTCAATGCCATAATGATACCAACACTGGCTGGACAACTAGAAATGAGAATGAAACATCAGGTCAGGGAGAAAAATATTTTAGAAAATGCAACCAAGGTAACCAAAGATATTGTAATGATGGATTCCAGGGTTTCAGAGAGTAGGGCTACTTCAAGGCACGAGTTGCATCTTTCTGAACAAAACAAAAAATACAATGGAGCATTACCATTGTGGACACTGGTAACTAAATGCTAATAAATGCTCCTCCAGCAAAATACCATATTCAACAATATTACTCTACTTGGATTGTGCAAGAGGGTAGTTATCAAGTTAGTTGTTTTGCATAGTAGAAGAATGAATAGGTTAAAGAAAAAAGGTGCAATTACAGGATGACAAAATGAAGTGTGAGACAACTGAAGAGAGAAGAAAATGAACATGGAAAGTGTCAGTGTTCACCCAAGGAAGAGGATTTTAAGTATCATCTGATGGCGAAAAACAAACAACAACCATCCAGCTAAAAGGATCAGGAGATAAAAATAATGAAATTAAAGTAGATCCCTCATTAAAAAAATCAAACTTAGCACTTAAGGATCATTGTCACTTTCTGCTGGTGGTTGGTTGTAAAGAAAGTAGTTTTTCTCTGGAACATGCGTAAAATCTCAGTAAAGCAACTTTTAGGACACCCTGTATATTGGGGATAAAATGTTTGTCTCTCAGTGTATGCAGGTATGCATGGGCTTCATTAAGAGCATGTGCAGGCTGCATTCAGCCTATGGGCCACAAGTTCAAGACCCCTGCCTTACACAAAGAACCAATTTCTATGAAATGCTTAAACCGTTCATAAATTACCTTCCTGATAGGTGGATTCTCACAACACTGTTCCAAGTTATTGCTTCACAGCAGCAAAAATAAGACTACTTTTTACACCATGTCCTTATTATAGTATTCTACACATCATAGAATAGTACTACTGTCATACACTGTGGCATCAGAATTGATACTACACAGAATACTATGATGGGAACTGGCAGAAAAAGCAGCATTTATGGGATCATGGGAGAGAAATAATTCAAGCAGTCTTGAATCTCCAGCTGCTTCATGTGCAGAAAAGGTACATTTTACTACTCCACCTTGAATGACTGTTGATTTTTATTCTGACAAACTAGGTGGATGACCCTTCCTGAAAACTGTGGAGCTTTCAATGTGACATGAAAACATCACAAACCTAGATCATCCACAAGGAGGTATCATAAAGAATAAAACAGGACACTTTTTTTTTGGGGGGGGGGGGGCACTCAGTATAAGGAAAGGGCTGAATGGGTCTAAGGAGAGCTCAGGGATAGGCTTCTAAAATTATGTCACAGGTTTTTTTTGACAAATTATGTATAGAAGCAGTGAGATTGCATTCACTGGAAAGGTTAAAAAGAGGGGATTTCATCAAAATCATCAAGGTCATTGATAAGATGGAGCAAGTTCTAACATATTGGCAGAGTGGAAGGGGAGGACACTTGTTGCAGAATGGCAGTTTCACTTGTCAGGTATTACATGATCAGAATGGCATAAGTGACAAAGTAGAATGCTCTCATTATAAGTTCTCACCCTTTGAATGCAAATTATTTTCTAATATGGGCCTATCAATTGCAGCAGAACTAAGGTTTCTTCCCATTTTTGACAGACCATAAACTAGTATTCAGAATATGTTAGAATTGTAACATCAGTAGTGCAAGTGCCCTCATGAGGGTGCGTGAACATCTCGCGAACGCACTCTAGCGGATACCCCTTCTGTAAATAGCTTCAAGTAAGAAAAGCAAAAAGAATCTAGCTTTCAGGAAACAATGAAGTGATTGAGATGCTAGAACAAAATCATTCTCCCAGAATATTAGACAGATCTTAGACTTAGGAGATGAGAGTTAATAGTATCTCACCTCGACTCGGGATGCCAATATAGTTAGAAATGCCACTTGGCATCCCGGTCCGGGTGAGAACCTTCAACCTTGGACTGGTACTGGCGATATACCGAAACGTCTCATACCCTACAAACTAGATCTGGCGGTTATCCTTCGCGCGGAGGATGCAGTTCAATGTCACTCGAAACTTGTCATGTACAGGCAAAGCCTGCTAAATGAACCACAATAGGAAATGGAATCAATTCAGTCGGACGACCTATTCGAGTACGATGCTGATAAAGGCGTCGCCACATTGGAAAATGGGCGGAATTTATGGCACCATGCCTGACGACAGACCTCGCATGCGTATAAACAAATGTTTTACTGTTTCCTTATCACGTATATTTCTGGAAATTCTCGCATACTCTTTTATGGATATTTAATTTAAGTTGACTTCCTGGCAAATTTAGTGCTTCCAGACGAAGTAACACGAAGGTAGGCACGTTGGGTAGGCTATTTTCTTCTCTGACAACACTAGCTAAGATTTCATTTTAACTATTCTGTAGAGGCTTAAACGGGCAGCAGATCTGATTGAACTCGGGGCAATTTTAGGGCCAAAATTTAATCTCTCCTCGGGTCGGGTGGAGGAGAATTTTTTAAATTCAGTTTTTACTTTCATCTTGCCTCCAGGTTGGGGCTATGAACGGTCTGACAATTGACGAATCTGTTTATCCATTCCAATCAGATATAATGAGGATCACCATTATCAGACGGAGAGAATGCGAAGAGGACACACCATTGTGCCCTTTTTTAATAAGATAGGTAAAAATGCGGGGTTTTTTTCTGGATCCATTCCAGCCCAATTGTCGATCAGGTTGGATTACAAAATATCGACCAGTGTAGGCCTCGATTCCCCGAGCTTGTATGAAGTATGCTACACGTGACTGCTTGCTGTCAGAATGAGTCATTCGCTTGATCGTTCGCATCGTTGTTGCTTGCGCGCCACTGTTGTCCTTAGGCTTAGGTCTAGCTTATCATGTCTTATCCCTAGTGAATTTGCCAGATCCCAATCAAATTCTTGGCACACCATTGCACCCTTGGATTGACTGGTCTAAGATATAAACCTGGGGCGTCCTAGAGTTTGAGATCCTTGCTACAAGGACCATAACATAGCAATAAATGGAGCTTCTCGCGCAAAAATAACAAATCCACTTATCCAGGAGTTTCACTGAAGCAAGCACCAAAAGTCAGTGTAGTTTACAATTGGAATCTCAGAGTTGCAGGCTCTTGGACTTCTCATTTCCTACCATCATGCAGTGTTTTGGTCTACACACTCATAAAAGGTTTAGAACCTAACAGGAAACGTTAAAAATAACAGTCCCATTTTTATGAGTAGCCCAGGCCTATCATAGAATATTCATCTGTGGTTAATGCCTAACATTCCCAGACTAATTGTTCATTTCTATTACTTTTTAGATTAAAAATCTATATAAGTAGATTGGCTGGTGGCTCAAGGGAAGGATGAATATATTTGGGAAGAAGCCAACACTGGAAGAGCAGATGAAAGAGAATGATCGGTCTCTAAGAAGAGTAAACCGTGGAGTGACTCGGGACCGTAATCAGCTGGAAAGGGAGGAGAAGAAACTGGAGGATGATATCAGGAAATCAGCAAAAGCAGGAAATAAGGAAGCCCTTACAGTCCTTGCGAAGCAATTGGTGCAAGTGAGGAAGCAAAAGACTCGGACCTTTGTTGCAAGCAGTAAGGTGAGGATTTAAAAAGTGTTATTCCTCTTGATTACATATCTAATAATTGGCATCATTTTATTAAATTACCCTTGCCATTCTATATGAATAATTTGTATAAATAGGTTTACATAATTCTAATTCAGGTTTGTGATTCTAGTTTTTTTTTTGTCTATTGGAAGTTGAGATCCTCCATGTTACACATCTAATCCAGCAAAATGGAGTCTGCTCAGCACACTTCTGTTGTTGATCTTGCAGTTGGAAGAGTCATAATTTGCCATCTGGAATTCTGGTTCAAATTAGATCACTTTTAGAATCATCAATGATATTGGTTTCAACTCTATCCATTACTGTCCTCATAAAAGAATTTCCACAAGATTCTGGCTTACAGAAATTAAAGTCAAATTGAGCAGCAAGTAACCATTGGCATTCTACTAATCTTAATCTGAATTATGTACAAGTTTCAAGTACAAGATGCAACAATTTCTCCATTGACTTCTGGGCAGAGCTGAGCCTCTTTTTGTCTAAGTATGTGCTTACATCATTTGTAGCAATTGAATTCAGTCATGATAGGCCCAGAATGCATTTATATATTTAAATAGATCTCATCAGCTGGAGCCCAAGCAAGAGCAATGCATGCAAATGTGAAGATGGCTGGGGCAATGGGAACTGCCACGAAAACAATGTCCAATGTTAACAAGCAGATAAGCCCACAGGATTTGGCCAGAACCATGCAAGAATTCACAAAAGAATCTACCAAGATGGACATGAGTGAAGAGCTCAGTGGGTTTTCATTCTGCCTGTTATCCTTGATTAAGTGTTGATCAATGCATTGCACTCATCAATGTCTCTGGATCTTTGTCTTTGCAGTCAATGATACCCTGGATGACATCTTGAATGAGTCAGGAGATGAGGAGGAAAGTGATGCCATTGTTACAAGAGTCTTAGATGAAATTGGCATTGAAATTTCTGGCAAGGTTTGTTTCTTGCATCCTCATCATCCCCTAAGCTGCCTTTCCTATAATACTCTCATTTTAAAGTTGGCCTAAAACTACAGACTGCATTAAGGTCAGAGCACATAGGCTGTTTATGGTAGTGACCAAAATGGTTATGTCAACTTGGATTTTCTCATTCCTTTGACTTAGCTGGTGCATTACATAAAGACTTTGCATGATACGGATCATATTTCTAAGCATAATTCTGTAATAGCCACTATCCTTGTGCATATATTCCTGATTCTTGTGAATTCTGAACTGTTTCTGATTCTCCAACCAAGTTGAAAAAATGCAGCAATGATAATTTGAATATCTGTCTTTGCATCAACCTCTTTTTACTAATGAAAAGGACAGTGTTTGTAAAAGCACATTAATCTAAAGCCACTTCTTACCCAGTAATATATTTGGATGCTCATTCAGAAGAAGCATGCCTATATTTGCTTTGACTTGTTTTTAATGCAATATCTGATACAATATACAGTAAAGCAACTTCTTAAAAGACACTAGGAAAGGAATACAGAAATAATTTTTTTTAAGTGCCAGTACCATATGTAGAGATGCTTGATTGAAGCAGGGCTGCATGCTTGGAGACCCAATCAAGGCCAGTCCATACACAAATTTCCTCATAATATGGAACAAAGTCATGAGTCTGAATTGTATCTCTAATTGAATATTTTGAAAATAGAATGAAATCTTTTTCAAAAGAATCATCTCTCATTGCCACAATAAACTGTTTTGGTTAAATTGTCCTTTCTTGGAATAGTAACTGCACAATGGCATATCAATACATGTAAATGGATGCACTGATATTTTCTTGTAGGAAACCAATGTTTGCTTAAGCTAGTATAACACAGATATTGGTAGCACTGCTGGTGAATGCCAAGGGCTATTTTTAAACATGGCTGTTATTACCGATACATCTAGTGATTCACATAATAGTGTGCCACAGCCTAATAAATTACAGTATAAATTATCCATTTTAATATGCTTGCTAAATAATCTCAGATTCAATTAACAATTAAATTGTGAAATTTCTCAGACAAGTCCATCATATTGTGAGGACTTTTTTGTGAGACTTATAATTATGGAAATGTAATACTCTTTTTCAAGTTTTACATTTCTATTTCTAACCCTTGAATTTCAGGTTGCAAGTTAATATTTGATTCAAACTTGAAAAATTGCTTGACATATATGTATGTCACACCTATCTAGGGGTCATTTTTTGTCATGATGGATATATATTGCATACTCACTTTAGAGGTTAATAAATAATCACATTTTGAAAGAAACTTATATCATGATAATTTTTTTAATAATAATTTTTTTAATGCTTATGTGTGAGTAGCCCCATTGAATTTACACCCATGAAAATGAAAAAAGCTGATATTATGCAAGCTTATGCAGTGATACAGAAGCTTCATAAAAGTTTCAAGCCTTTGTATGCTCACATCTGAATATCCAGTAGAATTGAAATTGTTGACATTTTACATGTCTCCGCAGAAAAAAAATTGAGAGTAACATGACCTTGGGGAACCTTTTCTCCATCCAGGGAGACAAATGAAGAAGTCTCTAACTCTTTTAAAAAGTTTGGAAGGTCACCATTCTTCTGAAACACTGCATTTTTAATTAAATCCCTTCCTTTGAGCAAGACCCCTAACATTTGTAATTGTGAAATTCAATGTACTGCACCATAACTTTGGCCTCTTCTTGAAGAGTTGACATTTTAATATGGAATCAGTTGGTCATGGGTTTCCCATACAAAAGTGCTGGTAAGGAAAACTTGAGGCTTTAAGTTATATTTCAATGTATGTTTCCTTTTCAGACTAAAAAAAAAAAAATTGAAATCCTTCCAGCTTCTTGTGTCCACCCTGTGTATTCAAAGTATGGCAGAAGCTAATGTTCAAAAACCAATCTAATCCTACTAGGTGTATATGTACATGTAGTGAAATTTACTATAATTGTGTCTGTTGGTTGATCTTGACAGTTGGCGAATGCACCCTCTGCCCACCGGGGAGCCCTGGATGAAAAATCCAAGACAAAAGTTACTGATGAGGATATTGAGAAAGTGTTGGCCCAGCTGAGGACTCATGAGTGAAAGAGAGCCACTAAAATCAATTAAATTTGCCAGTGGAAACTTGTGATCACGCTTATGCTGAATTATGTCCTGTTTCATTCCCTGAAGATTCACTAAATGCTAAATGGCTTGGTTTTTTTTATTATTTCTTTTTCTCTCTTTTTTTCAATAAATATAATTTCAACTTTTGGAAGGGAGGCAACATTTCAACTGGTGCTCTTTTGACTCTGGTGAAGGGTATTCTATTTTTAACTTACAGACTTGCAATTAGTCTAGTTTCATTCTGCAGTACATTCAAAAGCCATTCTTCCACACTTGCCATGTTCACATTCCACAAAACTACAGTCTAAGCCCCTCACACTAAGGAAGAATGGTTGTCAAAGTATCCATACCAGGAACCCTTCAAATATGGCAAATGGTTCTGTCCTTTAATCTGCTCTTCTTTCATTTAAATGTGAACATTAAATGCTAGCATACCTCTCTGACTAAGCTGTACTTCTCCATTCAGACAAGTTCTGAAGTAGTTTTATTTCCATTCAAAGGACACAGGCATACTGGTTGTCAATCAACTTCACTTCAGGCATCTATCAGTTAGGTTTCAGGCTTTTCAGCCCTGACAATAACCACTGATATGAAGAGATGATTAGCCTTTGTCAGTAAATATGTTTTAGAACGTTAAAAGTCAAGGAAGAAAAAGACATGACAGAAAAATGGACACCATCAAAGTGTGTTACATACATATCAAGATTGGAAGACAGTCATGACACAAAGTAGACTTGTGAGGAAAGATATGATGGCAGAATGAGGGAGAAGCTGATCTCCTAAGGAGGATCTGATCATGGAATTCCTATTTTCCCCTTCTCCTTGTTCTTCCCCTTCATTCACTTCGACATTGAAGGAAAAGTCATTCTCCTTGTCTATCACAGTTCCATTGACTTCCGCCTTGACTTCTCCACCCTTCAAAACTTGGAATGGACCTGGTGGAATGCAAGAAAATTCCACTCGAATTTTTGGAAATCTATTGCTTAATTCAATTATGACAAGTGAATGCCAAATCTAATGCCATTTAGACTGGAGACTTTAGTGAAGATTCAACAAATATTTTTTGCTGCGCTTCCTCATCACTGGAAATAAGTATTAAATATTTGATTTTTTTTTGCTGCTGTTTCTGCTGACAGTAGAATTGTTCAGAACTATTATGTTTACTCCAGAAGGGAAGAAGCTAGTTGGCAGTATTCATCGATCTTCAAGCTTTCCCCAAAAGGAAATATTCTTTCAAAATATTTTATATCCCTTGGCTGCAACAGAAGAGATTGGTGAGAGAGATGTGGAACATGCTTGAAAACAAGAACATCATGGTTCTGGGAAAGGCGTTTCGCAAACTGGTATCGTCTTGCGTAACAATAGAAGCCATATCCAAGTGATCGGCGCAGACAAGACTGAACAAAACCTTATCATTGCTCAAGTGCAAAGTATAACGCTGTCTTCAGTCATTTTATATGCCTCTATTGCAACACTAATGTGATTCCGCATGAGCAGTGTGATTCAGCCTCAGGTTGAATTGAAAAATTATTGACATACCCTATGTTGGAATTATCACTCGGGAATGTGAATTGGTAGCCCGTGACGGTTCATGAGAATGACATAAAATCGGAAAATTTTTAAGCTGTTCTAAACTTTAGGCACTCCCTCGATCCATTCCCGTCATCGGTGCATATGGATGACACCAGGGTGTAAGGGCTTTGGAATGTCTATATTCATTGACAAGGAAGTTGAAATGAGACCACGATTACAACCATGGCACCAATTCCAGGAAATTTTATATGGCTTTAGAAGGTAGGACAATTTATTTTTCCTACCGCGCAGAAATTGACATGAACTTCAACGCCTGGCGACCCTGGCTGTGATAATGAGAAACCTGCATGTCACTGGAGACTAAGTCACAGCGTCAATTTCAGACGCTCCTGTTATCATTGGCATGATGAGCGGTTGTTTCTATGTGGATTTAAAAAATGAAATGGAGTTCTCACGAGCGAGAGAAAGGGAAGTCCGGATGTTCCCCAGAGAGTTGGTGGCTTCACACAAGTATTCGCCATAGTCTTCCTCGGCGACGTGATGGAAGGACAAAGTCATGAGGAATGCAAATGAGCTGAGTGCTTCCTCCCTCACCTCCACCCTCCCGCTGCTCTCCACCTGACTCCCTGGAAAATGAGGCATGAAAGAATATGTCTGGTCATCGCACCCGACGTTGCAGCCATCGATGATTATTAATTGCAGAACAGAATGCGATGGGGAACAGAGCGACATCTCGAGGTTTCGGCAGGAGTCAGCTCGAGTCGCTCATGATATAAGGTTGCAAACTCGAAATAAGGGATCTGTGTGGTGTGTTCATGACTAACAGGGAGAGCTCCATTTCAAAGGGAAAAAGTGAACTTCTTTTATTCTAGGTTGTTCAGGAAAATTGTGAAGTTCCACTTAAAGATGCATAATACTTATTCTGAGGCTTAAATGTCCCACCTAGGATGCACATCTGTAAGGGAAAATATTTTGTATGATCAAATGCTAACTATTTTTATCTCGAGTCATGCAGAAAATTCCTGACATATTCAGGATTGAAGAAAAATCATAAATAATTGGGGAATCGAAGGAGTACCAGTAAATAAATAAATAAAACTAAGAGAAAATGAAGTTGAAAACTCTTGAACAGAGAAATCCGGCATTTTTATTCATGGAAATATTGATAGACATACCCAATGTACTGGAGAGATGCCACTTTACGCTAGGATTTGTCGCTACTTTACATTATGAGTTTTCTCTCGTCACCGTGTCCACAAGTTTATGGGGAGAAGCAATTTTCATATGGGAATTCTTGTGTGAGGAATTTTCCTTTTCCTCACAAGCCCCCAAAAGATTCTTCAGTATTCATTAGTTATGATAGCTACTGCGACTAATTACATTTGAATCGACTGGTAGTGTATTTGGCCTGCACACAATGCTGACCTGTTTCAGCTACAGCTTTATTTATAACCATCTGTAATCAATCCATCTATGATCATCGTCTAAATCTCTTTGGAGAACATACAGGATGGGGCAAAAGTCAGGGAACATAGGAATTATTGCGGAATTTAATTTTCAAAGTGACTGCTTGATGGCAGCACATTTCCGTACGGCTCCCCCCCCCCCCCCCCCCCCCCCCCCCCCCCCAAAACCCCTGCTCATAATGGTATCCCTCTACTTCTCCATCCTCTCTCTCCCCCGAGGGTGGGGGACGCAGAAAGATTTGAGAAAACGACCTGAGAGCGAGGCTGGAAAGGCCCAAAGATAGGTGAAAGGTGAAGGTCACGCCAGTTGCATGTAGCAACTCACTTTAGTAAAGGGAAACTGTCAAGGAAACGTCCTGCACGCGACGCTATTGAATTTTTCTCTGAAAACGGAAGGACGACAATTTAAATAAAAGGCGTGAATCGTACAGGTTAATGAATTTCCAGTTTCACATCTGCGCAGTGATATTTGGACTGAATCCCGAAATTAATTTAGTTCATTTTAAGCTTTTTCAGATATCAAATGTACTTTCATCATTTAGTGTTCAAATTTCGTTTCCATAACATTTTTCTTCGTTTAATTTTCTTTGTTCGCGTGTTCGCGCCGTTTCGCGTTTTTGTTGAGTATATCTCTTGGTTGCGCCCCTGTTTGTCATATACCATGATAACCCCTTCGTCGCACATTCTACACCATGCTTACACGATGGACAGGAAAGAGCTTAAAGTGGAAGAGCTGGAAAATGGAGTGGGGAGGGAGGACAAGTCCAGTATAAGAATGGGGAAGAACTCATTTCCCACTGTACGAACGTAATGAGTTACAGTAACTACAATTCCTTTTTAAAAATAATTAAAATCCCATTGCAAGTTCCTGGAAGTTCCTTACCCTCCACGTTCCTCAAAATTACCAATATCTTGAAAAAATGCGGAGTACTTGTTTAGCGAATTTCCGGCACTTTTGGGATGTCCCTGCACGGTGGCCTTCGAAACAATTAGCTTTCTCATTTCGCCATAAACAGCCTGTGTCCGAGCAGCGAGTGACGGATCACGGTCTTAGATGAGTTCGGCAGGCGAGAAGTGAAGCCGCGCTCGATGGGGACCTCGAGGGATTTTAGGAAGTCCGATCCTTCATCTTTCCCGTTCCAGTCCCTTGGCAGCACAGCGCGTCTCCACCTTGGACTGGTCATGTGTCTTCCCTGCCCTCATCGATCGTGGATTTCACGTGCCAAACGATGCATGTTTGCATTTCTAAATTACTCGTCGTTTCGATCGAATGGAAGACGTCACGTATCATCTACACTATACAACACTCGGTCAAAAATAACTTTCAAATGTCATCCGTCAAGTTATGGCAAAATTGTGAACATGGGGGTCACCAATATGCGCAGCAATGGAAATGACACATCGCCAAAATTTCCATACTTATTCCAAGCGAATAACGGTCGTTCATTTCCAGCCGATTTCAGTGGACGCAGCGGGAGCACTCTTCACTGGACTTCAGCTATTGCATGCCAAATTGAGGGGGAAATGATACGGAAATGTGCTGCCATCAAGCAGTCACTTTGAAAATTAAATTCCGCAATAATTCCTATGTTCCCTGACTTTTGCCCCATCCTGTATGTTCTCCAAAGAGATTTAGACGATGATCATAGATGGATTTTAATGGCTTGAAATAAAACCTGAAATGAAACCGTATATGAGACCCAAAAGGCATCAAAGTATGATAGTACAACTCGAAAGCTATGATTCGATTAAGTTAATGCTTGAGCAAAAACGAATTTCGCATCTTGCAGCATTCTGATGCCAAGGAAGAGCAAAAAGCCAGAAGAAATTGAGGACCACGAGGCGAGCAAATGCGGACATCCCTAGCGCTTGGCATACATTCCGACAAAAGTTAACTATATCTCGGAATGCAACAGCCAGATGATCTATTCCCTATCGTTTTTATCAATTCCCAATTCGTTATCAATTCCCTATCGTTAAATTTGTCGTTTTGAGGTTTCCTCTTCCCCGAAAATTGGAAAGATGCTTTTAAAATGAGATCCTACTGAAAATATAACCTAGGAGAAAATTTTCCTGAAATTTGACTTTTACTGCGAAATGAAAATTTTGTCATTTTATTCTGTGGGCTGCCAGCAAATCACGTGCAAAGGACGATGGGGGATGAGGGATCCCGATGAGGGATGGAATCATGGATGGTCCTCCAGGTAAACACGAAATATGGAACGATATGAAACACAGTTTACAGGTGGAGCATTACACACTTTTTTTAAAATCACCCTCGGTCCCCGTCAACAACAGCGGCCTCTATTGGGATACAGCGCCATCTTGCGGAAGTGAAAAAGCCTCTTAGACTCATGAACCTCTCTATCAAATATTAGCTGGATCTAACTGTCCCTTGAAAAGTTAAAGTTGAAAAGTTCATTGAATTCTGAGATGGTCGAGCACAAGTGATCACTTCACTTGAGGTGGATCATTCCACCTTTAAGCACCTTTAATTCACCTCTAAATGGGCATTGCACCACTTAGACAGGAGTGCCGAAAAAAAGCTGGCAAGCATTTCAGCACTTTGTAACTGTCAAATATCGATCGCGTATCCAATTTAATTTTTTTATGCTGCATTTATGAAACTGTGTTTCTCCCGTAGAAAACGGTAGAGCGTTTTTTTTTTAACCACCCTATATACCCGAAGGAAGATACACGCGTATCGTACGGCCCCCGTTTGAAACCTTTCTCGCAGGATACTCTCTCTTGCGCATGCGCGGACGAATCTCGTGGAAGTGGCGAAAACTGACCGTTGGGGTAGGTCCAGTAGATGACGGGTCGTGGAGAAGCCTCGACCTTGCATCGAAGCGAAGCCGTCTCGCCCACAGATGCCCTTCCAAGTGTCACCGGGGCGTGGATCAACGGAGGGACTGCATCGAAGGGGAGAAACCACGAAAACGAAATCATTCACTACTCGTTCGTAATCGCAACCCGTTCCACGATCCCTGCATTCCTGAACCTGTTTCGCGGGAATATCCGTATTCCTGTCACCTTAAAGGAATGCATTGCATGCATTGCATCCGGCATTAAGGTGCATTTATTATCGACCGAAGCCTTGGCTCGCGTCGATCCGTTCGAGTGTAGATACATGAATACTTTCCCGATGTACCGAATTTCGCGAGGTAAAGCTTCGTTTACGCGTACCACATGGACCCTGCACGGCACGTCGTAAAGGCATCCGTACTGGAGTTGACATTTAGCGCACGATGGCTTCGGTTTTACTTCGGCACCCTTAATCGTGTGCGGTAGGTGTGAACTTGCCCGAAGAAGCCATTCGGATTCATGCATACCCCTAGTAGCACATAACATTGAAACAACATTGATTCAACATCCAGACGTTGAACCAACGTTGAATCAAATCAATGTTGATTCAATGTTATGTGCTACTAGGGTACCACGTGATGCTCGTTCGAGAACGAGAAGGTCGCATCCCTTAGGGAAAAATCACCCCCGATCACATGCAGTGTCACATGTGAGAGGCACGTGATCTGCCATGTGATTTTCCATCTCACATCCCATTACACCCTATGTCACACCCATATCTCATCGGATTTGTGGGTGGTTGAGTATCTGTACAGGCACCAGAAATAGAATCAGATGTGTTGCTGACTTGATTATTTGAATTTGGAGGAAGCGATGATGAGTCTGTCGGGAAAATAATATAACAAATGCATGTAATTATAGACAACTCCGAGGAAGTTCCTTGACAGCGGTCCATATTACTCCAGGAACGTTCATGGCGATATCCTCCACCCTTCATTTGTTTAAAATATTCATTACCGTTACGGGGAACCATGAACGGATGAAGAGAAAGCGCCCCTTGAGACCCGATCACATGTGGGGCACTGGGTCATACTGTCCCAAAATCACACGGTTGCTCACATGGGTGATTTTTCCGTAAGGGATGTGAACGGTAGAACAAAAAAGGCCGTGAATTCGACCAAATCGGTTCTCGAAATCGAAGCCAAAAGAATAGTCAGCTGACGTTTTTCTAGGTAGCAGAGCGATATCGTCCGGTTTAACGACTCTTTCAGATTGCGAAAGGCTCGACCGAGCGACCGCTCATTTTTCTTTTCTTCCTGACGAAGAAACTGCACTCCCGCATGCAGTAAATGCCATCATTTCCTCAGTTTT